AAATAGTAAGTGAGGAAAATAAAGTCTCCATCTTTACCTACAGAGGACAGTGAGGTCTTTCTTCTGAGGACAAGATATTGAACACAGTTTCAGGACAAGTCAACCTGTGCTAGGTACTGTCAGGACCCTGAGTCCAGAGAGCCCAAATCTTTCTTATTGTCTCTAAGACATTAGCTTAACAGTTACAGGATGCAGCCTGGGTGGTGAATGGCTTCTATCTAAATAAAAATAGCCTTGGGCCCAGGTGGTTTACACTCAACCCCGAAGGCTAGATGACACAAGCAGCTACCTGAAGGCAAAGAGTATGTGCAGCTATGAAGTGTCTTTAGGGTTAAGGGAAGTGATTGCTATTTGCCCTGTATATATGATGTCCTTTATATATGAAGTCTTTTGCCGTTGTCCCACTTTTGGTTGATGACTTAAGTTGGTGTATGAATAAATTGAGCACATTCAGTATGGGCTCTCCTGACACTATCCTATGTCTCTGTTTTTCCTTTGTCGTTTATAGCTAGCCTTTCCCTCATTCACATGCCCCCCCACCCCCATTCAGGGATGGACCCGGGGCTGATCTGGTGCTTCCAATTACAGCCTCACAAACACCAGTCCGTGACACAGACAAGGTACTTTATGCTTTCTTTTTCTTTCTTTCTCCCCACAACCCTGATTACAGATTATGGCCGGGCCTTACTAAGTGAACCATTCAAAGCAAGGTCAGCATGCAGGGGCCACTCTAACTGCTGACTCCTGTACTTTGGAATTTCAAAGAGGGAGGAAACGAATAAACAGAAGAAAATGCTTTGACGGTGCACCCAGGCTCAGCCATTCCTTCCCTTCTTTGGAAGAGGATTTAGAGTTGGCGAGAGATCCAGATTTCTTAGTTTTTAAGAGAAATGCATCGCTTATACATTCATTTCTCCTTTGCTACAAACTCTGCAGGGAAATGAAATGAAAAGAGCCCCAAAAGGTCCTAGGGGGATGAAGCAACTGGTCTGGTTCAAATCTTAAGGCTGATGCAAAACAAAACCAACCAAACAAAACCCTAACCCCTGGAAACTCCAGGACTGTGGCTGAATGAGGGGTTTGGGGGGTGGGGGTGGGGTTGGGTAGCAGTGGGGTTAGGTGCCAGGGGGATAACTGAGGATGTTCAAGGAGCTCCTGTTTCCCTCCCTCCCTCCCTCCCTCCTTCCTTCCGACTCACTCATCCTCCCTCCCTCCCTTCCTCTATAAGGATTTATGTGCCTGTGTGTGTGTGTATGCTAGCAGATCCTCTGGGACTGGTGTTATAGGTGTTATGAGCTACCCAGTGTGGGTTCTGGGGACAGAACTCAGGTAAATTCTCCCAACTGCTGGGCCACCAACTCTCCAGCCCAGAAAGACCTAGTTCTGAAAAAGTAATTTGTACTCGGAAGTTGAAAAAATTCCTAGTAAATCATAAAGAGACACTCAACAGTGTAGTTTCATTTATTAAATAAAGAGCAAGCGGCTTTTCCCCAAGACTGATCAAGACAGAAAGCATAACCCAAGGAAGCAGTGGGAACTAGATCCTGTGGTCATAGGGCCTCACACACATGCTGTGTCATGGACATGCCCCCATCACTAGTAAGTAAACTAATTTTTTAGTGGGCCAATGGGTAACCCAGCAATGTTTTAAATAGGTAAATATGGCTACTGGATATAATCATTTAGTGTACAGTAAAATGTTTTTCAAGGAATAAAGTTGGCTGTTAACATCACTGCTCCTGAGAGTCAGGGTAGACAAACTGCAGTTACTTCTGAAATCGTTACAGGGAAAACGCCTGGTCAAGGGTAGGACCCCTGATGTGCCTGGACACCTGATATTCCAGTAATTATAATGTCACACAAAGCTCTCTGTCTTCCTTCATGCCAGTACTGAGACTTTTTACCTTCGCTGTCCCTCCCCTGATCCATTGCCCTAAGTTGAGAAGCAAACATGCCCAGGGTAGGAATAAATATCCACTCTGTTGTAAACTCAAGCCAGTCTTCCTCTTTCTTGGCAATGCACCTTCTGTGGGTCTGAGTATTGGATAGGTAATTGTGTCCACCTTTACTTTGCCTTACAAGGTCGCCTCGCTGCCTAAACATCCCTGGCCTATCCCTGGTATGTCTCCCCATCCCAGGCCTGGAGTCAGACTCTGCCTGTGCCTCTCCTGAGCTCTGTGACTCCCAGAAGGGCTGCAAGCCTATGATAAGAAAAGGACCGGAGGTCTTTATCATTAGGCTAGAGTTCTCTGTGTCCTTATCCTTGCCTCGGGCTTCACTCTGTCCTTGTCACTGCTCCAGGCCACACTCTGAGGCAGGAAGAGGCCTGTCTATTATCTTTTGGCACAGAATGCTGGGGTTAGAGGAAAAGGCCTTCAGTTAGGGAAGGGCTGAAAGTCCTTGGGGGCCTTAGTAAATTCCACTTGTATTAACAGCTTCACTACTTCAATAGTTCTGAAGAGAAACGAAACACAAAGTAACCCAGTAAATAGTCTCCAGATGGCGCCAGCCTGGCTGCCATGAACTCTAGCCACGTACAAACAGGATCTGAAGGTTTGAAGAAAGGGTGGGGTGGGGGTGGATCTGTGTGTATGTTGGGGGGCGTTAGAGACAGAGACAGAGAGAGAAACCAGAGAGAATGGAGGGAGAGAGAAGAGAGGCAAGCAGAGGGCAGAGAGAGCGTGGCAGGGAGAAGGGGCTGGATTTGAAGCTGTTAGGTGGGTTTATGGAGGATGGGGTATATGGTACTGGCCAGGTTAAAAGCCTTCTAGGCCTTTGTTAAGCTTTTGTCTCAGGTCAAGAGGGGGAGGAAGGAGCTGCCATCTTGGAAGTTGCACCCCCCCATTACCTATTTATGGCTTCTTTTCCTATCTGTCTACCTATTAGAAATATGTCTGACTCCTACTCCAATATTACCCCTAAAATGTATGTAGAGGCATGGAGAGACAGGTCAGTGGTTAAGAGCACTTGTGGCTCTTGCAGTGGACCAGGGTCCTATTCCCGGCACCCACATATCAACTCACAACTGCCAGTAATTCCAGTGTGGGGTAATCTAACACCCTCTTCTGGTCTCCTCAGGCATCAGGCGTATGTGTGGTGCACATACATAGATGCAGGTAAAAACACCCGTGTATACCCAACGAGAATGAATAAATCAAAACGAAACGGTTTTAAGATGCTGTACGCATATACTTTTTATAGCAATTCTTTACTGATTCTTTGGGAATTTCACATCTTGTACCCCAATCCCAGTCACCTCCCTATCACTCCATATCTGCCCCTCACCACTGTGGCATCCCTCCCTGAAAGGAACCCTCCCCCAAATGAATTAAAAACAAGACAAGGCAAACAGACAAAAACAAACAAACAAACAAGCCGCCTTGCTCCTGGGCCCTTCTCCATCTCTCTGACACCTCTTCATTCATTCGTCCTAGAGGCATTGGTGCTGCCCTGTGTCTCACTCACATTTCCAATCATTCACACCTGTAAACGTTCATTGCAAAGAGTCATTGACCTGATTCAAGACCTCTGGCACACCATCATCACTGGACTTCACCAAAACTCCTCCTGGATATCCTGCTATTGCCCTGAGTAATGGAGATCCTGAGGCTATCTTTCCACAGGACCAGTCCCTTCACAAAATCCAGCAGGTCATAGATGGAGTAGATGTTACAGTGAGCCAACCCAAGGCCCAGGATGTGGGGCTGGGTAGTAGCTGAGCTGATCAGTCTGGGCTGCTGGGGACCCTGACCCTTCAGGTGAGGGCCAGAGCAGGTTCTGCTATGCCTACATCATCAGGACCAGCTCTCCCCACACCCTTGGTGAGCCCAGACTCCTGGCACATGCATGACCTTCAATGGTATCAGGAGCTACAAACATCAACACAGACCCTAGCTGCAGTTAAGGCTATGGACCTAGACATGGTTCTTGACTGCAGCCAGGGCTTGGATGTCACCATGCCCTGCGTGACAGATCTATATGGCCCCAAGCTGCAATGTGACCCTCAGGTGGCTTTAGGTGATTGCCTAGACTCTGGGTATTTGCATGGCCTTTGGTGTTAACAAAGCTGTGAACATCAACACAGATTTTGGCTGCGTTAGGGCCAAAAGCCCAGACATAGTCTTACACCGTACCCAGGGCATGGCCTTGGGTGGTAGCACATGCCGCTCAGGTCAGCATGGCTGTGGTGGCAGGATGCCTCTTTGTGGAAATATAGGCCCAGAGGTGAACCCACCCTCAGCAGGCATCTGCTCTCACAGGCACAGTCCCACAGACATATAATTAAATATAATAATACAAATGGCTCTTAGGAAAAACCCCAACTCTGCTTCATACACTGTCTAGTCCTGAAATTTTTTTTTTTTTTTTTTTTTTTTTTGGCATCAAAGCTATGACCCTTGGTTTGGCCTGAGTCAAAGTTGCCTGAAAAATTGATTCTCAACCTGTGTATTGTGACCCCCTTTATGGGGGTCGAATGGCCATTTCATATCAATATTTACACTCTGACTCATAACAGTAGCAAAATTACAGTTGTGAAGTGGCTGTGAAATACTTTTATGGTTGGGGGTCTCCACAGCATGAGGGTCTGTATTAAAGGGATGCATCGTTAGGAAGTTGAGAACCACTGTCTAGGACTGGTGAGGGTGACAGCGGGAGCTATTTTTCTGTCCCCACACCACTGTCAAAAATACCTCCATACTGGGAGGCGTTATGTGAGACAGCCTGAATCCATGGTCCTGGGTCATGTTCCAGGATTAGTGAGCTCTTATTCCTGGAGAGGTTGACACTACAGGTCTCCAGGTCTTTCCATTCTGACTCTGTCTCCTAGAGATGCAGTCTCTGGAGACAGAATCCTTTGACCTGGCCCTGGTTTAAAGTTTAACCACACCGGGGGTAGGAGGGTGGGTGAAGGGTATTGTCCTACCCAGCAGATCTCGCTCCCTCCTTGTTTCCTCGTTGTTAGTCAGGGCAGGGGAAAACGGAGGAGGAGGGAGGAGACAGGCTGACTACAAACGTCAAATGACAACGTCCTGGAGGACGGAAGGCACTTAATTTCTCTCAGTACTTTGAGTTTCTATTCTGAGGACTTAGCTGAACCGCAGCATCTAGGCTCCAAGATGAGTGGTGCAGAGTCTGCAGAAGCTTTTGTGGGCATGCTCAGTCCAACACACCGTCTGCAGGAGGGCGAGATGAGTACGTATTCGCACCAAACTACGAGAGCAGAGAGGTGCTTGCCAGAGACGGGAATGAACAGGAACGGACAGGGGCGGAGGGGAACCGACACGGAGAGAGCAGAGGGGCTCAACCTCATGCCTGTGAGCCTGTCACAGTGCTTCTCTGCAGAACCAGAGAATGCAGACAGGAGTTAGTTACTCGGTTGGAGCATATAATACTTGAATAGTTCCTGCTGGAGCTACAGCTTCTTTGTTTTTCTTCTTCTTTGTACTTAGCTTGCTAGTCCACTTTTCCCAGGGATCTGGTAAATTATACTCTGGTGAATTACACCAAGTCCCTGTTGGTCATGCTTTCTCTACTTTTCCCACAGCAAAGCAAATTTGATAGAAGTTGCCAGGAAAGCTGGGCTTTTGTTTTGCAGCTCTACTGTAATGAAAAAAGGATTGTAAGGAGGTGGCCTAGGGTGGGAGGCTTTGCTTTTTGAGCTCATAGTAAATTATGGAAAAGGAACACAATGGGGTTTTCTACTTTAGTCTTCAGGAGGAAAGCGAAATTGTGTTTTTTGCATTTTGAAAATGTCTGTTTCATTATATCTCATTCTTTATCTTCTTTTCCTTTCTTCCCCACCCCTTCACCTTAATTTTTTTCATTTAGGTAAAGATATTGGATTTTGAGGAAACAAGACTGATATTTACCAAAATACAAAATTCATGACAAAAAATATTGATGTTTATCTCTTAAGTATTCTCCTGATATTTATGGTTAATATTATTATTATTATTAACTATTGATGGTGCTGCTTCTGCCTTCTGCTGATTGATTGATTCTTTGAGAAAGTCTCCTACTACATCTCAAGCTGGCCAAAAACTCCAGCTCCCTTTGCCCCAGCAGTATTGATTTGAAAACAAGCACCCAATGGGAACAGTGAGTGGAAATCTTGTGCAAAAGAAGCTGTTCTATAACTGGGGCATTTTGAAACTCCACTCTTACAACACCATAACTGCCTTAACTGGTGCTGTGAGGTTTTTTTTTTTTTTCTTTTTCCCCTGTGTAGCCTTGGCTGGCCTAGAATTTACTCTGTAGAATCTCAGAAATCTGCCTGTCTACCTTTGCCTCCTGAGTGCTGGGATTAGAGGTTTGAGCCACAACCACCTGGCTTTTGTTTCTTTTGGTTTTGTTGTTGTTGTTTTAAATAAAGCTAAAAACCAGATCAGCAATGTTTCATGTTTCCGGGGTTCTTTCTAGCGTTGTGCGGACCCCCTTTGCAGCTCCTAACACAGAGAGACTTGTATTAATTGTTAAACTGTTAGTAGATGGCTAGGGCTTCTCATTGGCTAGTTCTGTCTTAATTATTAACCCATTTCTATTAATCTATATATTCCCACGCGGTCTTATCTTACCGGAGAGCACCTGGTTTCATCCTATCATTCCGGTCCCTCCACGGTGTCTCTCTTTGGCGTGTACCCTCTGCCTACCTTTCCCAGAATTCTCCTCGTCTCCTCGCCCTATCTTCCTGCCTCCATTGGACAGTGTTTTGTTCACCAACCAATAAGAGAAATGTATATACAGAAGGACAGCCCCTAATAGTTTAATATCTTCTTTTTTTTTTTTTTTGAGAGCTCATTTCTAATATTGCTTCCTAATAAAGACGCAAAAGTTCCAACTGTGCTGTGGGAGGTATTCGAATTTAAAAGGAGATACATGTGTATGCAGTATAAGAAAGGTGGGAGAAAAAAAATTACCATTTATGTATCAAAATGAAACAGCATTAGATGTTTAGATGTTATACCGCTGTAAATACAGAGGCTTATCAGCAAATCTTGCTGTTAACATATAAGAAATGTATGGTGTGGAATCCTTTTGGAACCTGGGTGATTACATGTTTGAAGTCTCTTCTAGAAGATATATCAGGTATTGTCCTGTAAAACAAACCCAAACTCTCCAGTTTGGGTCTTCTTCTTCTTTTTTAAACTGATATTTACACTTAACACACACTTTTTGTTTCATTAAGATGACCATAGTAGAAACTCCCTCAGCTGTTTTCAGGAACATTGTACATTATTATGAACTCCATCCTATTATGCTTTTGATAGCAGAGCTGATAAGCTCTTTATAGCAAATATTGCCTCCTTCTCTACTCTCCCAAGCCCAGTAAGTGATCTTTGTACTTGAGTGTGTATTGCAACACTGTTTATAGTGATAAGCTCAGGGAACACACCTGCATCTTGAAGTGATTAAGTGGGGGAAAACTGTGATCTAATTTAAAGAGGATGAGATGCTGTCTTTGGGAAGCAATGTTCAGTAAAATCAGTCAGGCATTGAAAGCCTAACACTGCTCGTCACTTAGAGGGATTAGCTAGGAGTGTGCATTATTTATTCAGAGTTTGGAAGAGGTTTTAAGCACAATGCTAAACTCAGAAATCATAGGTAAGTCTAAACATTTCAAAATTGAAGGTGTTCAGAAATGTTAGAAAATAGAAGAGAAGAAAACGTGAGGAAGGACTTACAGATGAACTCTGACCTTCAGGAAACCAGTGAAACAAGGGGGTCTTTGTTGGGGAGGTTAAAGGACACTTTGAGTGTCACCTTAGTAAAATTAAAAAAAAATAGAAATAATAATAATTGCACTTCTAATGGCATTTTTGCCTAATATAAACAACAAAAAATGAAGATTGAGGATTTTTTATGGAGTCAAAATCCAAAGGACATTGCATAATGTTTACAATCCTCTAACCCTGGGTGTTATCTTTCTTGTTAGTTTAAGCATAAACTCCTTTCTGACATAGAAATGTATGGGAATGAGTACACATAGTAGTTGAAGTCAGTGGAACCCATTTTTAAAGTATAGTTTATATCCATTAATTTGGTACACATTTCTGAGTTTTGAAAACATATACTCATAACATCTCCATCAACAAATTCCTCTGAGGCTCATTGTGGATTCTTCCCAGACAATTCCTTCCTCTGTTCCCAAACCATGGCCATCCCTGGCCATTTGCTGTTCCAGAAGCTGTTCACATGGATTCCTACAGTCTGGTAGTCATCTGCAACACGTGTGTGTCAAATACTAACAGTTAGCCATATGTTTATGTTCCAAGCCTCATTGGCCCACGAACAATTCTGGATTCAGAAATATAAAAGCAGCTCAATATACAACATCTGCTTTTATTCTGCAGAAGGTTAAGAAAAGCTGACTGGAAAACTGGTGGATTCCATTAGCTCATGCAGAAACAATTTAGTGATGGTTGGAACTATTGTCTTTTCCCAAACCTGGTAACACTGAGCATATTTAATATAAAATCTTTGTTAGCCACTATTCAAGTATTTGGCCCAATTTTATTCTTTCTCTCTCTCTCTCTCTAAACCAATTAGTTCTTAGAATTCTTAGGATACAACTTCTTTTTGATCCTATGTCTTGCAAAAATTGTTTCTGGAATTCCCTTTGCAGGACTCAGAAAAGAGGGTTTTTATAATTAGGCCAAATCCAAGTGTTCCATTTTCTATTACATGGATAAGAATTTTGGTATTATACCTGAGACATTTTTATTCAAGACTAGTTCACAGAGATTTTTCTTTTTTCCTCAGACAGTTTTATTGTCCTAGGCTTCATGCCGGGGTAACTTTTTGTAGGAGGTAGGAGAAGTGAGCTTTTAGCATGTGGATACAGACTGTCTCAGCATCCTGTGTAGAGGAGATAGGTGGAGGGTGCATGTAGAAAGAAGCAAGGGTGGAACATCATGGTGTGTGCGCAAAGACCAGCTGCCTAGGAAGCTGCCGTGCAGTGACTTCGTCTCCTCAAATATGTCCAACTCTGTTAAACATAAGTCAGGACCACGACTGACTTGTTTCTCAAGTTGTTTTATTATTTTTTGTCTGTTTTTTTTAGTTTATGTGTCTACACTTTTGCCTAAACCATACTGAAGTCTTTGTTTCTGTCACTTTTTTTTCTAAATTGCTCAACTAGACTAATTCTTTTGCATTTTTATGCGATTTGAAAGTTATCTTGAGTTGGAGAAATGGCACAGAGGACTCAGGTTTAGTTCCTAGCACCCTCATGGCTACTCACAACTGTCTGTAACTCTAGTTCTGAGGGGTTCAACACCCTCTTCTGGTCTTTTTGTAGAATAGACATGTACAGCATACACAGACATATATGCAGGCAAATCAACCATATTCATACAATAAAAATAAATGAATGCTCTGTATCCATAAATGTGTTGAGAAGAGTTCCTTCGATTCCTAACTCTTTGAGAGGTTGTTAATTTGAAGTAGTATTAACTTTTTCACGCGGTTTTGGTAAGCTTGTTAAAATGCTCCCACATTTCTCTCATTAATTATGTCAATATGTTTATTACAATTATGTGTGTTTATTAATTTATTTACTTACTGAGTTTTTTTTTTTTTGAAACTTATGTAGATCAGGTTGGCCCCTAACTTCCTATGTAGCCAAGGCTGGATTTGTACTCAGCTTCTGCCTCTCTAGCACTGGAAATGCCAAAGTGTACCTACCAATGTGTCTGTCTCATTGACTGGTGCAGGAGTTATACAGGCTGCCCCATGTGGGAGCTGGGAGCCAAACTTGGGTCCTTTAGAAGAGCAACAACTCTTCTTAACCTCTCAGCCTCTTGCTAATCCATGCCACATCCAACACCCACAATGTTTCCTTCCGTCCTAACCAGTCTGTTCTTCCGGAACGACAACTATGAGCGGGTTTTTCATTGTTTCTTTTTCATCCAGATCTTTACTCTGTTTCTTGCTCCTTTATTGGCTCTTCGTTCAATAATTGGAAAACTCCATGAAAACACTTCTGTTTTCTTCTAGTCTTCTGTGAGCCATAGACATCATTTATAGACCCAGAACGTCTGTGAAGGGTGTTTGCAACGGGGGAGTACAAGCCAAATCTACAGATGATTTTGGACACATTTATCTTTTCCCTTAAAAGGTTCTTGAGGTCCATATTCTCATACTTATATTTTTCAGGTAAAAAGCTCCAAGATCAATGTTTCAGAATTGTTTCTGTCAAGTCTCCGGCTAAGCTTTACTGCTGCTATGCAGTGATCGCGGTCCTCACTGTAGCTGTCATTGTACTTTCTGTTGCTCTGTCGTTGTCAGGTGAGTGACTCGTTCTCCAGAGTCTGCAGCACTCTGACCACATTTACACTGTCAGTTAGACCTATAAACTTATACTGAGAGGGAGGACTCAGTCTAGGAAAGACTCTAGAGAAAGCACACCAGAAACTCCTGTTCTCTGGGAACTTAGAGTCTAGCAGGAAGATGCAGAGAAGGCACAGCACAGGCTGTGCTGTGCACAGGAGACCAGGCTCAGCATCCCTGGGAAGATGGCACTCAGCAACTTCTAGAAAGAGGTGCAGGAGTCATATGTCTACCTGAGGGAACTATTCAAGGCAGAGAATAAGGAGAGGAAAACTCAAAGGAGGAGCCTCAAGGAAGTGTAAGGACAGAGAAGAGTTAGACAGCCAGGAAGATATGGCGCCTTCCCGCATTACCCATGATTTTACTTACCATGTTCAACTGTATTTTTAATGTATTCAATGAAAGGTTTTTGAGGTGATCAATTTTAGTACCACACTGTTCAGAATAGTGTAATGAAAGTCTTGTACTGTTGCCATCTGTGGGGTACCATCTTTCCTTCTGTTGGCCCCAGGTTGAGAGGGGAAAGATGCAGGAGTGACATTTCTTTGGCTTTGAATGTAGCCCATGAACATGGGGGAAGGGAGGCCTCCAGGAGACAGACAGATGAATCAGTTCAACTTCATTCCAGAGTATAAGGGATGTATAGGACTGGGGAGCCCGGGGACAAACCCTAATTTGTATTAAGTGGCACAATCCTATCATAAGACTTGGTATGTAGCAGTAGGCTCCTATAACAATTCCGAGCACATGTCTTCTTAGCGGGATCTGTATCAAAAGTCAAGCTAAAGATGAGTCAGGTATCTGGTTTTAGAGATAGGCATCTGGTTTAGAGACAGCTTTCAGATAAGATTAGTCCTCCAGGTCCAGGGACATCCTCCAGATAAGGCTAGGTAGAGAGCAGGAAGCTTCGTTGGGGAGGGAAGGAGTACCAAATTGTCAAGTTTAGAGGGAAAGCTGCTAGGCTATGGCAGACTGTGACCTCTAATCAGTCAGCAATGTATTCCAACATATGAACAATCTCTTGGCGCAATATGTCCACATTGTATGCATTACCTTCCCAATATTCCTCACTTATTTCGATTATCAGGCTGACTGTCAAAGTAGGTGTCCATACAGAGTGATTGTTACTCTAGCAACCCCTACTGTAGTGAGCAATCATAAAGCCAAAAAAGTGATGATATTATAGAAATTCACTTCCTGGGAGCCCTATTGTCAGTGAAAACCCCAGAGAGATTGGGGCACAGGTCAAAGCTGGGATGCCTTTAAATAAAAGAACACTGTGCTAAGGAGAGGATTTCTACAGATCAGTTGGGAAAACTACAGTCAGGTTCACGGTTGAGCTCAGTAGAGTATGTCAATGCTTGTTATAATTTATCGTGTTGTCCAAATTTTAGGAAGAAGCCCAGAACAGACCTCAACCAAAAGTACTTATTGCCCGACAAAATGGATTGGATTTGGTGATAGATGTTTTTATTTTTCTGAAAACACAAATAACTGGACATTCAGTCAAACCTTCTGCAAAGTACAGGAGGCTCAACTAGCTAAATTTGACAGCTTGGAGGAGCTGGTAAGAAATGATCAGGAGTTGGCTTGTTTGTTTGTTCTGTTTAATATGTATGGCCTTGAGCAGGGAGGTTAAAGATGAAGCATGAGGAAGGTCCCCACCCCACACAGATGGAGACATGGGGAACATGCAAGTGTGTGCCATTTGCTGATGGTCACACTTCTGGTTGGAGCCCTGAGACATTCAAGAAACATTTTCTCATATAGTGCTCATAGTCAATCTGGAAGGTCAGATCTGCCATTTTATTGAGATAATTGGTGGTCATGAGCAATTTTCTCCAAGCTGGCATATGTTGTATCCTGACAACTGTTAATAACTTCAGGGAAGCTTAACCAGGAAGTATCCCAGCCACAGAAGGATATGTCATTCAACTCAGTACTTTAATTCAAACGCAGTACTTAAGAATTATAGATGTCAACTGGATCTACTGATAACTGAGGGCTATCATGGCTCTAAAGTCTGTGTCTCTCAGTTACAACCTCCTATAATCTAATGAGGATACTGTGGGGTGGAGACACTCAAGGGTCATCTGAAACAGAACAACACATACATTCATTTTCAATGTTTTATGACAGAATTTCCTGAAGAGATACAAAGGGACTTTTGACCACTGGATCGGCCTGCACAGAGAGTCACCAGAACACCCTTGGATGTGGACAGACAACACTGAGTATAACAGCTCGTATGTTTTCAGAACACTTTTCCTTCTATTATGATCATGTGTTGTGAAGTGTGTATGAATTGTGTCTCTAAGAGAAGAATGACTGGGTCATGTGAATCCAGCTGTGCTGCCTCAGAGTTACACTGGCCGTCACTTTTAAAAGCTATACTAAGTGTGATTTTATTCAAAATCTTTACTGGGATGATGGCATCTGGGGTAGCTATTGTCTTGTCCCTGAGCAGTTTAAACATTTTCGTTGTTGATGAATGCCCCGTGTGGAATGTAGACAAACCTCAGATGGGCAGTGAGGGCTCCAAAGCTTCAGGAAATCGCTGCAGAAGTGTGAGGCCGAGACTCATCAGTCCACTGTTTGCATGGCTACTCCTGCTCACAGAAGCAGACACTCCAAGGACATTGGAAACCTCCCCTAGTCTTGTAACCAGAGAGCACAGTTCTTGGATGTGAGCATAGCTGTTTTGAATGGAGGCATTATACTGGAACACTGGCTCACAAGCCCAGTCGTGCCCATCATCAAAGCAGTTTACTAAGAAGTGGGTTTCCCCATATTTTAAAATGTTTCAAAAAAGAGTTGAAAACTTGTCCTCAGTGAGGCTACCCATGGCTGTAGTTATTTGAACATAGCAGCTAGTGCCAGTCAAATGCTTTGTACATGCATTACAGGGTTCAACATGGATGGGTGACAAAGATAGGGTATTCAAATCAAACCCTGAGAATGTAAAAGGCAGTAGGTGCAAAACTAATGCAAATGATTCCTCATGGAGTCTGCCTTCCTTTGATTCATATTACAAGCAAGTAGTGGAGACAGGGTTGCATTGCTTGTGTGAATGCAGTTCTGAGCTCTGCAGATTTACTATTTTTGGTTTATTTTCAGGGTGAGTGAAGCAATCCGAGGAATGGAAAAATATGCCTACCTGAATAACAATGGGATCAGCAGTGCCAGGGTCCATGCTGACAGGAGATGGATCTGTAGCAAGCCCAGCAACTATGTACTTAAATGCCAAATTCCTTTTTCTTCTTTCTAGCCTTTGCTAAGAAATGCATTGCAATCTGCTATCTACAGTTGCTACTCTATCCCTTGTCTTCCATCAATATTTGTGTTGACATCACAAATGAAAACCATCTTGGAGAACTGCACAAACAGGGTTTAGAGGAAAATAGACATATACTATTGAGCCCTAACATCAAAGTATTAAAATCTTCACAGAGTAGCTACACTGTACTGATGAGTCCCAAAAAGGACGAAATAGCAGATTTATTTCACATCAAATTGCAGTTAGTTAAGTTTCTCAAAAATTCAATACTTAATCTATCAGTAGTATATATACTATTGAGCCCTAACATCAAAGTATTAAAATCTTCACAGAGTAGCTACACTGTACTGATGAGTCCCAAAAAGGACGAAATAGCAGATTTATTTCACATCAAATTGCAGTTAGTTAAGTTTCTCAAAAATTCAATACTTAATCTATCAGTAGTATATATACTATTGAGCCCCAAAATCAAAGTATTTAAAATCTTCATAGAGTAGCTACACTGTACAGATGAGTCCCAAAAAGGATGAAATAGCAGATTTATTTCACATCAAATTGCAGTTAGTTAAGTTTCTCAAACATTCAATACTTAATCTATCAGTAGTATATATACTATTGAGCCCCAAAATCAAAGTATTTAAAATCTTCATAGAGTAGCTACACTGTACAGATGAGTCCCAAAAAGGATGAAATAGCAGATTTATTTCACATCAAATTGCAGTTAGTTAAGTTTCTCAAACATTCAATACTTAATCTATCAGTAATATATATACTATTGAGCCCCAAAATCAAAGTATTTAAAATCTTCATAGAGTAGCTACACTGTACAGATGAGTCCCAAAAAGGATGAAATAGCAGATTTATTTCACATCAAACTGCAGTTAGTTAAGTTTCTCAAACATTCAATACTTAATCTATCAATAGTATACTATTGAGCCCTAAAATCAAAATATTTAAAATCTCCATAGGGTAGCTATACTGTACTGATGAGTCCCAAAAGGACGAAATAGCAGATTGCAAGCATCTTTTGGCCTCTTCCCTCTCCCTCTTGTTCTATTAAAAAATATTTTTATATTTAGATTTTTTATGGGGGGTGTGATGAGGGGTTGGTGGGGGCATGGGAGGACAGGAGGGGGAAGGAATTGGGGTTTTATGTTTTATAATTTAAATAAAAACTTATTAAAAATAAAGGAGGTGGGTGGAGGAGGGCATCACCCTACATGTGGGGGGGGATGGGAGGAGAGGTGGTTGGGGTGCATGGAAGGGGTGGAGAAAGGGAAAGAGGGAGGGAAGGAGGGAGGGAGAGAGAGGGAACTGAGATTGATATGTAAAATAAAAATAAAAAAATCTAAAAATAAAAGAGGCGGAGGAGGGGATAGGAGGGGAAAAGGAAGGGAAATAATTTATTTATATATGTAAAAAAATACATACAGTATGTAAATGTATAAAATAAACGAATTCAAGTAAGAAAAAGTGCAAATGAGTAATGTATTGTGCTTATTTTGAGGCTATGCTTTATTATTTATATGAATGAAAGTATATTTTATTCTGGCAAATTACTTTCTTGACAGCCCCCCCCCATACATACACTTCATTTAGCCCTAATAGCATTTTTTCCTTGCGATTTGTTTTACTTCCTGAATCCTAATAGGAATGTGGAAAACATCCTCAGGGACTAGCCGTGTGTTCAGAACAGTGGTCTTCAAAGCAGACTTGTGTACTGAACCATGTTCTCACAATTATGGCTGTGAAACTGGTTAGTGTGAACTAAGTTCCTGACAACAGAAGATATATATATATATATTAAAGTTCATTTTCTATCATTGAATTGTATAAACTTAATCCACAAAAGAAACTTGGTAGATTTATGACCTTATCTGACCCAATAATCTCCTACACTGTAGACTTGAAAAAAAAAAAAATACCAACTCCTAAAACTCAGATGAGATGACCCCCAGGACAATGTCTTGCTAGTGTCTCCCTCTGACTCACAGCAAACACATGGTAAATTTTCTTCCATTGCTCTGTGGAAATAATTGTGAAAAGAACAGTAATTTTTCATGAGTATTGGCCCTTCTAAGGAATGCCTCACAAGCTGCCATGAGCTGTTCAAACCAGCTCTTATAGACAAGGAATTCACCACTAATTAAATGAACCATTTAAATAGCATACGGGATCAATCTTTTTCTTTCTTCTTTTTGATTTTTGAGACAGAGTCTCTCTATGTAGAGCAGGCTGATCTTGAACTCAGAGATCTCCCTGCCTCTGCCTCCTGAGTGCTGTGTTTAAAGGAGTGAGTCACCAAGTCTGGCTTAGGTTTTTATGGGCTGGGGAGATGGGTCTAGTGGGTAAGAGTTTTGTTGTACAAACACTAAAACCTGAATTCAAATCCTCATCACCCACATGAAAAGTCAAGCATGGCTCTCCTTAAACTTCTATTATTTTAGGACTACAGGGGACAGAGACAGGAGGATCCCCAGGGCCTGCTGGTCACCAGTCAGGTTCAGGGAGAGACAATGTTTCACACAATAAATAAAGAATAAGTAGATTATGGCTATAAACGCAAATTGTTCACACACATTATAGGAAGCATTTAAGTAATTTGGGATTTATACCTTTTCCTAGTTCAAATCCATCAAATTTATTCCTAAATTTTTTTGTTTTATTCTTTGAGAATTTTATTGAAAAATTTTATGTCTATGTTCATCAAAGATATTGACCTATAGTTTCCTTCTTACCTCCCTCCCTTCCTCCTTTCCTCCCTCCCTCCCTTCCTTCCTTCCTTTCTTTTTGCTGAATCTTTGTCTGCTTTGGGTATCAGAGTAATAGCACATTATAAAAGGAATTTGAAATGTTCTATTTTTTAAAAATAGTTTGAGGCTTATTTCTGTTAGTTCTTCTTTGAAAGTCTGATAGAATTCTTCACTGAATCCATATGGCTATGTGCTTTTGAGGTGGTGGCTATGGTTTGTAATTATTGTTTCTATCTCACTGGCTGCTATGGGTTTATTTAAATTATTTAGTTCATCTTGATTTAACATTAGCAGCTTGCATATATTTAGAAATACATCCATTTTCTTTTCATATTTTCTAGTTTTGTAGAAAATAGTCTTTTGAAAGTATGTTCTTATGCTTCTCAGAATTTCCCCAGGGTCTGATGAAAAGTTTTCTTTCGTCTCTAATTTTATTAATTTGGATCCTTTCTTCCTTTTGGTTAGTTTGGCTACAGGCTTGTCAACTTTCTAAATTTTTTCAAACCAATTCTTTGTTTCATTGATTTATTTTGTAATTTTCTTTTCAATTTCATTAATTTTGGCCAGGATTTTGATAATCTCTTCCTATTTACTTTTCTTTGGGGAGGGGTGTTGATTATTCTGACTTTTCTAAGGCCTTCAGATGCATCATTATTAATTTGAGATTTCTTAAAAAATTTACATAGGCATATAGTGATTAAGCTTTATTCTTGTAATTGCCTTGTATTTTTTATTTCATTCAATTTTGGGAATTCTTAAATTTCCTTCTTGATTTATTCCTTCACTCAATTTTGATTCAGTAATGTGTTGTTTAGATTCCATGAATCTCTGTTCTTTAGTTGTTGATATCTAGCTTTGATACATGGTTGCCAGATTAGATGCAGAGTGTAATTTCAGTTTTCCTATATTTGCCAAGACTTGCTTTGGGTCTTTTGATTATGAACACTAATCCAATTCCTTCTGGCCATCATAGACTCCATTGAAAAAAATATGCTGTTGTTACGATGAACCTGCCTTTGTGTGTGACTTGGTCTTTCTCTCTGTTTTTGTTATCTTTTGGTTGTTGCTGTTGTTCTGAACATTGATAAGATGAGAGCTTATCTGTCCTTCAGCCACTTTTAAAATTATCACTCAGAGACTTGATATTAATTACAAACTATTTGCCTTATTGCTCAGGCTTATTACTAATTAGCTCTTACAACTTAAATTAACCCATTTCTATTCAACTATATTATATATCTATATATAGGCGTTATCTGTTCTAATACATCTTGTTGCTCAGATGGCTCATTGGCATCTGCCCCTGACTCTGCCCTTCTTCCTGTATCTCTGCTTGGATTTCTCACCTGTGATGGGAGATGTCATTCTGTATATGTTTCTCATACTGGTTAATAATAAAGCACTGTTGGCCAATAGGAAAGGAAGATAGGAGGGACTAGGAGACAAGGAGGAAATAGGAAGTAGTAAGGAGGAGTCAAGATGGAGAGTCTGGAGAAAGCTGGACGCCAGCTGCCTCCCCGGTAAGAGAAGGCCATGTGAAAATACATAGATCAGCAGAAATGGGTTAATAATTAAAGGCAGAGCTAGCCGATAAGAAACAAGTAACCGGGCCAACAGTATTGTATCAAATACAGAGTCTCTGTGTATTATTTGGGGCTGGCGCGGCGGCAGGACAAGACCTGGCTGCAGAGGAAAAACCCATACTCGTTACACACCTGACCCTATCCTGCCTTGCTATAGGCCAAAGAAGCTTCTTTATTAACCAATGGTAATAAAACATATTCACAGCATACAGAGGGGACTTTCTTTATTAGTCCTGTCTACTTGATGATCTGTATTCCTGTCAGACCTTAATACGCACCTCTTACTTCAGATTAAGGAAGGTTTTTTTTCCCCCTGTGATTTTGCTACCTTTGATCTGTGCTTTCTCTTCTTCTGAACTTACTGTTTACAGGTTTGGGTCTTTGTATAATGTCCAAGTTCCTGCATTTTTATTTCTTTGGGATAATTTGGATTAGATATTTTCTTTCATCGAATGATCTAATTCTTCTAACTTGCCTTCAAGACGCGATATTTTCTCTCCCACCTGATCAATCTATTGGTGATACTGTTTTCTGATTTTTTTTTGGTTTGAATGCCTGAATTGTTTGTTTTAAATGCTATTTTATTTTCACTTTTCTTCAGAAGTTCTATCCATTAAATTCTGTTTTCATTTTTTGGCTTTTCATAATTTCATTCAACCATGTTTTGTTGTGTTTGTTCTAGTATTTATTTATATTCTCTTAGAATTCTTTGGCTATTTTCAGTATTGCTATTTTGAAATCATTGTCTTGTTCGTCATCTGGGTTGCTTTTCTCAAGGGACATTACTCTGGACACACTACTTTTTTTAATGGAGACTTGGTACTTTGGTTATTCATGTTTGCCCATTTGTAATGGGACCTTTCGTCAGGTGGCGAGTACTGTTTGTTTATGAGTATGGAAATCTTGTCTAGCAGGTGTTTGAAGCTTCTGTTAATGTATTTCAATTTGTCAGGTGGTAGGCCAGCTGTGTGGAGCTTAGGGATCTGTCTTTGGGCAATTCAGTGTTGATGTTTCAATCAGGTATCAGAAGTAGTTCTGCCTTAGCTCAAGCTAAGTGAGCTGACATTCTGTAGTTGAGAACTGCTGCTCTATGTAGAGGGGAATCATGTCACCTTTTCCTTCTTTACATTTTTAGTGCCTGGCCTTACCCTTGGCAAGCTGTGCCAACCATGAAGAATAGGCCAGTAAGCAGTGCTCCTCTGCAGTCCTGCATCAGTTCCTGTATCCAGGTTCCTTCCCTAGTTTTGCTCAGTGATGGATGAACTGTGATAAGGAAGGGTGAGTCAATAAACCCTTTTCTACTCAAGTTGCTTTTGGTCAATGTTTTGTCACAGCAACAGAAAAGCCAACTAGGACAAGGGGACCCAGCGTATTACTTAAGAAGGCAAGAATTAGTGATTACTTCATCATCACTATGCTAGTATCATGTTAATTTGGAATTTTTACCCGAGTTATATATTGGATTTCTCAGGATAAGTCTGCCTAGGAAAGTGCCTAATGCTTTATCCAAATAGATCTTGAGACTGAGCAAGCTTAGCAATATTTTATAACAGTGACAACAAACTAGCAGTGTTATGGTTGGAAGGGGTGTGCCCTCCCTTTGTGTATTGAAATTCAAATGCCCACTGTCTTGGCATCAAGAGTGGTGGCCTTTGACATAAGTAGATCACGGGGAAGAACACCTATAAGTGGAGTGTCCTTATAAAAGTTCATGAAAGAATCCTTCTTGTCATTCTACCAAA